GATACCTGGCTGCAGCTTCCACATCAGCACTTGCTGCTTCAACTTGAACTTTTACAATTCGGAGATGGTCACTTTCATCAACCCCATGAACCAACCTCTGCTAAGTTTTCTTCTGCAGCTTCCTCACCTCTCTCAGGCTTCCCAGAATTGAAGAGAGTCAGGGCCTTGCTGTGGATCAGGCTTTGGCTTAAGGGAATGTTGTGGCTGGTCTGAACTTCTATGCAGACCACTCAAACTTTCTCTATATCAGCAATAAGGCTGTTTCACTTTCTTTTCATTTCTGTGTTCACTGGAGTAGCACTTTTAATTTCCTTCAAGGACTTTTCCTTTGCATTCACAACTTTGCTACCCATTTGGCCCAAGAGGCCTAGCTTTCAACGTGTCTCAGGTTTTGACATGCCTTCCTCAATTAATCATTTCTAGTTTTTGATTTACAGTGAGAGACATGCAACTCTGCCTTTCACTTGAACAATTCCAGGTCTTTATAGGGTTATTAATTGGCCTAATTTCAATATTGTTGCATTTCAGGGCATAAGGAGGTTCAAGGAGCGGTAGAGAGATAGAGGAATGGCCAATCAGTGGAGCAGTCAGAACACACACGATTATCAAATTAAGGTCGCCATCTTACATGGGTGCAATTTCGTGGCGCCCCAAAACAATTACAATAGTAACATCAAAGATCACCTATCATAGACCACCATAACAGAGAAAAGAATCGAAAAGTTTGAAATATTGTGAGAATTACCACAATGTGACATAAAGACACGAAGTAAAGCACTTGCTGTTGGAAAAATGGTGCCAACAGATTTGCTCAACTCAAGATTGTCAGAAACTCAATTTGTATAAAATGCAGTTATCTGTGAAGTGCAATAAAACAAAGCACAAAACAAGGTATGCCTATACTGATTGATTAATCCTACATCAAATTACTCTACCACTGCAAAGATTCAGCACAGCACAGCACAGCACAGCACTGAGGTATGTGTAATTATTAATGCTACAGTGCATTCTCTCTCTTCCATACTAAAGTTCTTTAGTACTCAGCAGGAAGTCTCCTGCCTGCTGCATGAGTTCCTGTTCCCCAGGTTTCTCAGGACACTACCAATACAATAACCTATCTTCATTTTGAAACTTTTAGGCCACTGCTTCTAATTTCTACTACTTTGGTCTCTCATAAATTTCTTTTTCCTTTCTAATTTCTTCTCAATTTTGACCTTCCATACATAAAAGCTGCCCTTCCATACGAAAGACAAATAAAAAAAGAGGTTGGGGAAACCTCCTCACTACCAAAATCATAAAGAGGATGATTTCTTAGTTCTGACCCATTCCATCACCCTAATGGTTTCAAGCGGCTACATGCACTCACTGCTATTCCGATTTTACCTGATTCTGTAATATCTCTCAATTACTTAAAAAAAAAAAAAACTTTACACATTAACAGAATTCATTCTGGAATCCTGTTATCTTGCTATCTTGACCAGTTTTAACAAATAGGTAAAAATACTGTAAGAAAGAAAATCACTAAAACTCCTGGGAATTTCATCTCATGAAGCAAACAAAGGCCTTCAATCAAAAATTATGCTTGGCCGGGCACGGTGGCTCAC